TATACTAGGTTGAATATTGAATTATCATGGGCTAGAATATTGCAATCCTTAGGTACTTCCGTCAACACTGCACGATGGATTATGGTGGTTATACAAAAGATTTGAGTGCTATACACCAAGATCTTTCTTCGATATTCATTCTTGATAATTCTCCTGGAGCCTACAGGAAATTTCCTCGTGAGCATGATCTTTCGTCGTTGTTTAAATAACATATCATTGCGTCATCTTTGCTATTTACAGAAAATGCCATTCCTATTCCATCGTGGTTTTCGGATCCATCAGACACGTGTTTATTGAATTTATTACCATTTCTCGATGCTTTGCGGTTCACATCGGATGTGCGAAGCATTTTGAGTCGAAATCAACAAAGTTTCAATCAGGTGTGGTAGAGCAACAACCCAACTATCTGCAATTCTGCTCGTGGGTTTGTTTTTTTAAAGCCTCAGAACTTGTTCAGTAGATAAGGGGTTCGAGAAGAAGAAAATAAGGAAGAAGATATATTTTACTAAGCTGTTTTGAGTTCAAGAGACAGCTTTTGTGTATTATTATACTTTTAAGACTTAAAAATGTCGTAATTTATAACTCTTTAAATTTTTGTAGTGCTCTTTGAACTTCAAAGACAGGGTTGAAATTTTTTATATCGCGGAGCTGTTCAACGCAGATTATCTGTTCTCACTTTGCAAATAAATTTCTGTTCTTATACATCCAGTGTTTCAGATCCGGGTCGACCTTCTACGATAGGTTTTAGCCTCAGCTAGGTACATCGATACTCGCGTCGTCATCGAAACGATATTACAGTCTAACTCATATCAGAGTGGTTGTTAGATGGGAGGCAAAGGAATGTGAGCGATTCCTTGTTGTTAAGTTGTTATCCTTGCATCTAACCCCACTTCTTCTCAGATTCACTGACATAGACTGTCTCCTTTTCCGGTTAAACATACAGTACGTTGTATTGTTTATTGAGTTTTTCTCGCTGTCTTTGTTAAATATGAGGTACATTTCATCTCCAACAGTGTTTTGGCATGCATATCCATCTACCATGTTATAATT